GTCAAGAATTCGAAAAATCAAGAAACCGAAAAGTCACAAAAGTCGATTAATCGAAAAATTGAAGAATCGCAATATCGAAAAATCCTAACATTAAAATATCGAAAAATCGAAGAAAAATTGAAGCATCGAAAATTGACAAACCCTAAATCTGAAACATTGAAAAATTGAAAAATCGAGAAGTCGAAAGTTTGAAATCAAAAATCGATCATTAAAATATCGAAAAATTGAAAAATCAAAAACCTTAAAAATTGAAAAACGGAATAACAGAAAAATAAAAAAATCGAGAAATCAAGAAATCGAAACATGGGAAAACCAAAAAATAGAAAGGCCGAAACGTCGAAAAATCGTGATATCGAAAAGTTGAAAAATTGAAGAATCGCATTATCCCAAAACTGAAATATCGAAAAATTGGAAAATCGAAGAATAATTGAAGAATCGAAAAACTGAAACACTGAAAATTTGAAATAAAGAAAAATTGAAAAATCAAAAACCTGAAAAATTGAAGAATCGAAAAGTCGAAAAATTGAAAAACTGAAATATCGAAAAATTGAAAAATCGAAGAAAAATTGAAGAATCGAAATACTGAATTATATAAGAAGAATTGAAAAACTGAGAAATTGAAAAATGGAGATGTCGAAAAGTCGAAATCAAAAAATCGATCATTTAAATCGAAAAACCGAAAAATCAAAAACCTGAAAAATTGAGGAATTGAAAAACAAAAATAAAAAAATCGAGAAATAGAAAAATCTGAAAATGTAAAACTTTCAAAATTGACAAATTAATGAAAATATCGAAAAATTGAAGAACCGAAAAATTAAAACATCGAAAATCGGAACATCAAAAAATCGAAAATTTAAATATTCAAATTTTTAAAATTTAAAAATCGGAAAATTCGAAAAATCGAGAAATCGAAAATTAAAAAGTGATCGCCAAATTGAAGAAGCGAAATCTGAAAAATCGAGAAACTGAAAAATTCCAAATCTGAAATGACGAAAAATTGAGAAATCGAAAAACTGAAAAATGGAAACATCTAAAAATTCGAAAACTGAAACATGGAGAAATCGAAATGTCAAAATCGAAAAAACGACTAATTAAAAACTGAAAACTTTAGAATTCAAGAAAATCGATAAAACGGAAAGTCGAAAAATAAAAAAAAACTCGAGCAATTAAAAAATCAAAAAGTCGAAACACCGAAATTTCGATAAATGGAGAAAGATTCAAAAATCAAAAACTAAAAATTCTAAAAATAAAAAAATCAATAATTTCAAAAATAAAAAAAAAATGAAAACCGAAAAACCTAAGACACAAGTCGAAAAATTGATAAATCGAGAAATGGAAACATCAAAAAACTGAAAAACTTAGAATTTCGAAAAATTGAAAAATAGAAATATCCAAAAAATTGGAAAAACGAGAAATCGAAATATGGGAAAATCAAAAAATCGAAAAGTAGAAACATGGAAAAATCGGAAACACAACCGATTAATTGAGAAATCGAAAACTCGGAAAAGTTACAAACGTCAGAAATTGAAAAATCGAAAAATCATAAAACTGAGAATTCGAAAAATAAAAAATTTGAGAAATCGAAGATTTGAAGAATTGAGAAACTGAAAAATCGAAAAATGGAAGTATAAAAAAACTGAAAAATCCTAAAACTGAAATTTCGAACAATTGAGAAATCGAAAAATTGTTACGTCTACAATTTTGATTTTTTTCCAATAGCCCCGAAGTGTAGGATAGAACTGAAAAATTTAAATAATGAAAAATTGAAAAATCAAAAACCTGAAAAATTGAAGAGTTGAAAAACGGAAAAAATCAAAAAATCCAGGAGTCGAGAAATCGAAACATGGGAAAATCAAACAATCGAAAAGCCCAAACGTCGAAAAATCGAGAAATCGAAAAATCGAAAAATCCAAAAATCAAAAAATTGAAAAACTTAAATATCGAAAAATTGAAAAATCGAAGAAAAATTCAAGAAACAAAATACTGAAATAAGAAGAAAGAATTGAAAAACTGAGAAACTGAAAACTCGAGATGTCGATGGGAATATAAAAAAATCGAGAAATCGAAGTCACAAAAATTTATTAACCGAGAAATTGAAAAATCGAAAAATTGACAAACTCTAAAACTGAACATTAAAAAGTGAAAAGTCGAGAAGTCGAAAAGTCGAAATCAAAAAATCCATAATTCAAAACATCGAAAAACTGAAAAATCAAAAACCTGAAAAATTGACGAATTGAAAAAAAAAAATAAAAAAATCGACAAGTCGAAAAATCGAGAAATAATAGAGAAATCTAAAAAAGTAAAACTTTCAAAATGAAGAATCGAAAAATTAAAACATCGAAAAACGGAACATCAAAAAATTGAAAATCTAAAAATTCAAATTTTTAAAATTTAAAAATTGAAAAATTAAAATCGAAAATTCGAAAAATCCAGAAATCGAAAATTAAAAAAATAATCGCCAAATTGAAGAAGCGAAATCTGAAAAATCCAGAAACTTAAAAAATTCCAAGTCTGAAATGAGGAAAAATTGGGAAATCGAAAAATTTAAAAATGGAAACATCGAAAAATTCGAAAACTGAAACATAGAAAAATCGAAATACGTCAAAATCGAAAAAACGAAAAATTAAAAAAATCGAGCAATTAAAAGATCAAAAAGTCGAAACACCGAAATTTCGATAAATGGAGAAATACTCAAAAATCGAAAAACAAAAACAAAAAATTTGAAAAATCAATAATTTTAAAAACCTAAAACTGAGAAGTCACAAAACTGAAAAACCTAAAATTTCAAAAAATTGAAGAATAGAAATATCCAAAAAATTGCAAAAACGACAAATCGAATAATCGAAAAATTGAAAAATCAAAAACGAGAAAAGTGACAACTTGAAAAATCTAAAATTTGGAGAATTGAAGAACTGAAAAATCGAAATACTGAAAAGTCGGGCAATCGAAACATGGGAAAATCAAAAAATTAAGAAGTCGAAACATCCAAAAGTCGAAAACACAAAAACCGATTAATTTAGAAATCAAAAACTTGGAAAGTTACAATGAATTCGGAAAATAAAAAAATTGAGAAATCGAACATTTGAAGAATTGAGAAACTGAAAAATCGAAAAATTGAAGAATAAAAAGGTGAAAAATTCCCATAATTAAAATATTGAAAAATTGAGAAAACGAAAACTAGGAAAATCGGGAAATCTAAATACCACAAAGTCGAAAAAATTAAAAAATCGAGACCTCCAAATATTGAAAAGCTGAAACATCGAAAAATCAAAACATCAAAAGATAGAGAAGTCGAGAAATAGAAAAGCCCGTAAGTAGAAAAATCGGAAAATTGTGAAATCGAAATAGTCCAAAATCGGAAAATTGAATAATCGTAAAACCAAACATCGACATTTCGATAAATCAAGAAATCGCGGAATAAAAAATTTATAAACCGAAATATTGAAAAACCGAAAAGTCGAAAAATCGAACATCAAAAAACTGAAAAATTAAAATTCAAACACTCGAAAAATTTAAAAACACTTAAAAATATATGTAGAAGAACCGAAAAATTGATAAATCGAAAAATCTAAAATTTTAAGAGTTGAAAAATTGAAATATAGAAAAATCCCAAAACTGAAGTATCCAAAAATCGAAGACAAACTGAAAAATCAAAAACTCGAAAAATCCAAAAACTGAAAAAACATCGAAAAGTTCAGAAATCGAAATGTTGAAAAGTCTAGAAATCGTGAAATGGGAAAATCAAAAAATCGAAAAGTCGAAACGTCGAAAAATCGAGAAATCGAAAAGTCGAATAATTGAAAAATTGAAGAATACGAAAATTGAAAAGTTCCAAAACTGAAATATCGAAAAATTGAAACATGGAACAGTTGAAAAATCGAAAAATTGAAGAACTGAAAAGTCGTTGTCTACAATTTTATTTTTTTTCCCCGATAGCCTCGATGTGTAGGACCGAAACTCAACATAAATTGTGATTGATAAATGACATCAATTCCTGGGATACATAAACGGATAAATTTTGCTTAAAAATTTACCATTTCTTCCGACAACTTTTAAAATGTTATTATACAATTTTGACTTTTTCTCAAAAATCTGGATATCTAAGGTACAAAGTCAACACGGATTCATAAACCACCAATCTGTCTAATACAATGAAAAAAAATTAGGAATTAGAAAAAATAGTAAAGAAAGTGTTCAGTGCCAGAACGCAGGAAACGAACAAAAAACAAAGACTTAAGAAAACGTGGAATAAAATTAAATCTAATACCACACTTAGGAAAATATTGGCAAAATTCAGCCGGAACTCAGTTCACCCAAGTTTATTTCCTCTACTTTACGTTTCAAATCATCATTAAACCGTATATTTTTATTATTTCTTTTTAAGTAACCGTACGCGGTGGGAAGTTTATTTTTATTGCTTTGGTTAACAGATAGATGAAAGTTTGAAACTTGTCGTTAATATATAAATTAAAATCGTGTATAAATGAGCAATCAGTAGATTCACATCGTTATATAAATCAAAGCGTCCCACAGATGTTAATGGCTAAATGATCTGCGATTCAAAATTACAACGTAATAAAACGCCGTACTTTACAATCAAATTTTCATTTTTGAACGATAATAATAATGTAACAATGTAACTTGAACAAGTGTAATAATAATTTGTATTTTGAAGGCTGTGGATAATATTAGATCCAAACCGATTACACTCGGTAAATTCCAGTCTTCTCAGTTTTGTGAATCCGAGAAAAACAGCTCCGGAATTTTTATAGTGTTTCCTTAGCTTCTTCCTGGCCAGATCTACGACTTATGTAAGCAATCCCATAAACTCCGACCCCCGTCGTCCTAGTACTACGCCTCCCCCCCGAACAATCGCCTCGCGCCACAGCACACCTAACCCACGTAAAAATAGCCGCCGCCACCACGCCTATATCGAAGATTTCGCTCAAACATGATTGCAATATTATAAACAAACGTGTGCCAAGCAAGTTAAAATTAAATATTTCCCTCTAGTAGGAGATAGGCCGCGTCTCCTCTGGAGCATCCAGGCCCAGTCGCTCCTCTCCTTCCGTCGTGATCAGTCCGCCATGGCCCCCAGGGTATACGTGACCATCGTGAGTCCGTCGGTGCGAGCCACCCTCCTCACCACCCACGCGCTGGGCATCAACATCGAGATGGAAGAGATCGACCTCAGCAACAAGGAACAATTCAAGCCCAGCTTCGTCAAGGTACTTGCTTAGCTAAGAGTGGGTTTTCGGTGCCAGTGGATGATCAAAACGAGGCGCAATTGCAGTGTGGTGAAGGGATGGGTTGGACGGGAGCCCAGAAATCTAGACGAGATTGATGGACGGTCGTTGGTGGTAATTGGGGCGGAGGTGGTGTGCTAATGGGGTGGAACGGTGGACGATGGGTGTAGGCGAAAATTTTACGAAAGGTGTGCTTAAACACTCCCGATTCAATGGTTTACTGGTGACCAATGTAATTAACGATGAGAGAATCGGTTATTAGATCATTCGAAAATTAGGTGAAATCAAGGTGGTGCAATTCCTCTTCACAAAACCTTAACAACATTTGGTTGACCAAAACAACATCAAAATTTTCAAAAAATTTTGTATCCTAGAACACAAAATTTTGATATTCGAAATTAAATAAATATTTTGATCTTTATTCGATGACTAAGTTTGATGTTTTTGTTTTGCGTATTATTGTAACAAAGGTGTGTGCGTTTGTCAGCGACACCTCAAAAACGTCTCGACCAATTACTTTTAAATCTGGCAGGCGAAAACTGGGTCATCGCTTGTCGCTTCGTTTAATTTTTAGCGACAATCGCATAAAACGGGAGTTTTTGGCAAAACACCGAAAAAAAGTTTCAACTAATAAACTATTTTATTGTCACTTGACGAATAGTGGGACATTATTGCGGGTCATAAAACATCGAAGAGATATATGATCGCGTTATTATAGAAATATTTAGTCGAGAGTGCTTCTCTGCCTTTGAACTTTCCCGGAAGGTGTAATTTCACTTTCTATGAAGTTTTATTTATTTGTGTTCTCGAAATACAGAGATTTGCTGTGATGACCCTTCAAAATGGGGTTTTTCAACTCAAAAGTTGTACCTATTAATTTAAAATATTTGAGCGTTCCATGCAAGTTCAAAATGATCATCAGTGTGCGTGCTTTAGCGATTTGTAAAGCAGGCTTTATCGTAATGAGGTGTCACGTGGGAAGTAATCAATAAAGTTTATTTTAGCAATTTCACCTTTATCTAATTTCAAGATTAGTCTTGTCTGCTTTGAAATGTTCACGTATCAGAATTCACAGCTTGGCTGGATCGATAACTCATTAAGGAAATAATTGTGGGATGGTACCACTGGTACTGTTTATTTCCGTGACTTATGAATGATGGGTAGAGTGTAGGCAATCGTTAAGTTTTTTTAAAAATTTAGTTTTTACTTCTTGAGCATGAAAAAATGGGTTTCTCGGGTCCGTCCAGGGTAGTAAATGTCATTTAATTTTGTAAAATAGCATACTCCCCCATTTGTGGTTTTTGGATAAAAAATTAAAATAATTATAAAATTTTACAATTTAACTTAAAAATTGCAAAATCGAGTGTTTTGAAATCTTGCAAACGTTTTAAGGTTACCGGAAGCATGATAAATCGTTAATCATCAAAATTTATTCATTCATGTGTGGCTTATGAATCAGTGTGAACTTCCTAGATATTTGGAAAAAATCAAAACTGTTCTTCAAATTTCCGATTTTTCGAATTTTTCATTTTTCGAATTCTCAATTTTCCCATGATTCGGTATTATAATTTTTCAAGTTTTTGATTTCCTCATTTTCTCTTGTTTCAATTTCCCTACTTCTCGATTTTTTGATTTTTCAATTTTCCAATTCTTCAATTTTTAATTTTTCAGTTTTTCTATTCATCAATTTTCAATTTTTCCATTACTCAATTTTACGATATTTCAGGGTTGCCATTTTTCAATATCTTCATTCTTCTAATTTTCAATTTAATTCTCAATTTCAAGATGTTTCAGGTCTATGATTTTTCAAGTTTTCAACTTCTGACGTTTCTAACTTTTCCAGTTTTCGATTTCTTGACGTTTCGATTTTTTGATTTTTTCATTTCCCCATGTTTCAATTTCTTGATTTCTCGATTTTTTGATTTTCCAATGTCAATTTTTCGATTTTCAGGCTTTTGAGTGCTGTATTCTTTGATCATCGAGTTCGACTTTTCGATTTCTAAATTTTTCATTTTTCAGTTTCTCAGTCTTGCGATATTTCAATTTTTCGATTCTTCAATTTTTCTTCGATTTTTCAATTTTTCCGTATTCCAGTTTTGGGACATTTTGATATTACTATTCTTCAATTTTTCGATTTTTCGACGTTTCAGTTTTTTATACTTCAATTTTTCGATTCTTCAGTTCCTCAGTTCTTCAAATTTTAGATTTCTCGAATTTTTCATTTTTCGAATTCTGAATTTTCCGATATTTCAGTTTTATAATTTTTCAATTTCTGACGTTGCTAACTTTTTGAGTTTCCGGATTCTCCATTTCTCAATTAATCAATTTTTTTCGAGTTTTTGATTCTTCGGCGATTCAACTTTTTGATGTTTTCATTTTCCCATGTTTCAATTTCTTGAGTTCTCGATTTTTTAATTTTTCAGTTTATTTTCTCAATTTTTCGATTTTTTAAATTTTCGGTTTCGGGACTTCGACTTTGCCATTTTATTTTATGATTTTTTCATGTTTCAGTTTTGGGATTTGTCAATTTTTTGATTTTTTCATTTTTCTTCCATTTTTCAATATTTCAGTGTTGGTATTTTCCGATGTTGCTGTTTTTTCAATTTTTCGGTTTTTCTGTTTTTTTACTTTTACGATTTTTCAATTTTTTCGATACTTCAATTTTTCGATTCTTCAATTTTTCAATTTTTGACGTTCCTATATTTTCGATTTTTCGTCTTCTCGATTTTTCAGTTATTCAGTTCTTCAGTTTTTCAATATTTCGATTTTCAGGTTTTTGAGTTCTTAATTTTTTGCTCATCGACTTCGACTTTTCGATTTTCTAAATTTTTCATTTTTCAGTTTCTCAGTTTTGGGATATCTATTTCACTTTTTCGATTCTTCAACTTTTCTACGATTTTTCAATTTTTCAATACTTCAGTTTTGGGACTTTTCGATATTGCGATTCTTCACTTTTTCGACTTTTCGATTTTTCGACGTTTCGACTCTCTGGCTTTTTTATTTTCCTTTCGATATCTCAATTATTCAGTTTTTTAGTTCAATTTCTCAATTTTCAGGTTTTTGATTTCTTAATTTTTTCATTCTTCAATTTCGAGTTTACGATTTCTAGATCTGTCATTTTTCAATTTCTCAGTTTAGGATATTTTAATTTTTTGATTCTTCAATTTTCCGATATTTCAGTTTTGGGATTTTTCGATATTACTATTCTTCATTTTTCAATTTTTCGACGTTTCGACTTTTCGATTTTCCCATTTTATGATTTCTAGATTTTTCAATGTTTCGATTTCTGAACTTTCGATTTCGATGTTTCGGCTTAGGGATGTTTCAATATTTTGATTTTTCAATTTTTTTCGACATTCGATTTTTCGATTTGTCAGCTTGGAAATCTTTCTATACCTATAGGAGGGATTCTTAAATTTTTCAATTTTCAAATTTTCGATTTCTCGATTGTTGGACGTTTCGGGTTTTCAATTGTTCAGTTCTTCAATTTTTCGTTTTTTCAATTTTTAAGGTTTTTGAGTTCTGAATTTTTTGATTCTTCGACTTTTAGATTTCTTGATTTTTCAATTTCTCGTCTTGACTTATCGATTTTTTGAGTTTCCCATGTTTCGATTTCTCGACTTCTCTATTTTTCAGTTTTTCAGTTCTTTATTTTTTCAATTCGATTTTCAGGTTTTTGGGTTCTCAGTTTTGAGATATTTCAATTTTCCGATTCTTCAGAAATTTTTCTTCAATTTTTCAACTTTTCGACTTTTCAGTTTCTCGATTTTTTGATGTTTTGACTTTTCGATTTTTTTCCCATGTTTCGATTTCCCGATTTCTGGATTTTTTAGTTTTTCAATTTTTCAATTATCCGATTTTCAGGTTTTTGATTTCTCACTTTTTTGATTCTTCGAGTTCGACTTTTTTATTTTTCGATTTTTCAATTTTTCGATATTTCAGTTTTGGGATTTTTGGACCTTTCGATATCTCGGCTTTTCGATTTTTTTTGTACCCATGTTTCGATTTCTAGACTTTTTCGTTTGGATTTCTGAACTTCTATATTTTTCAGTTTTTAAGTTCTTCAATTTTTTGATTTTTCAGGTTTATGATTTTTCTATTTTTGAATTTAAGATTTCTCAATTTCTTAATTTTTCGATGTATCAGTTTTGGGATTTTTCGATATTGCCATTCATCAATTTTTCAATTTTTTGACTTCGCGATTTCTAGATTTTTGGAAGTTTCAGTTTTTTCGATTTTTTGATTTTCCGATATTTCGATTTTTCAATTTTTCGATTTTCATGTTTTTGAGTTCTCAGTTTTGAGAAGTTTCAATTTTTCGATTTTTCAATCTTTCTTTGATTTTTCAATTTTTCAATTTTTCGACTTTTCGATTTTCCCGTTTCACGATATCTAGATTTTTTAATGTTTCGAATTCTGAACTTTTCGATGATTTTTCAGTTTTTAAATTCTTCAATCTTTCGATTTTTCAGGTTTCTGATTTTTGAATTTTTTTAATTTTAGATTTCTCACTTTTTTAATTTTTCGATATTTCAGGTTTGGGATTTTCCAGTTTTTCAATTCTTCAGTTTGTCTTCCATTTTTGGATATCTATTTCAATTTTTCAGTTCTTGAAATTTTAGATTTTTCGATGTATCAATTTTTCGGTTCTTCGATATTTCCAAGTAAGTATTTTTCAATTTTTCGAATCTTTGAATTTAAAATTTTTCAGTTTTTGATGTTCGATTCTTCCATCTTTTGATTTTTCGAGTTTTCGGTTTTTCAATATTTCGATTTATAAAATTCTTCGATTTCTTGATTTATCGAAATTTGTTTTGTTTTTCGTTTCTTCAATTTTCCGGCTTTTCATGTTTTCGATTTTTCAATTTTTTCCACTTTTTGATGTTTAGATTTCCCGATTTTAGAAGTTTTCGTTTCCTCAATTTTTCAACTTTTCGACTTTTCCATTTTTCCGATTTTTCGACGCTTGGACTTTTCGATTT